ATTCAATGTTTTATATTCAATAATACATTAAAGATAATCTTTTAGAATTCAATAAAAAAAAGAATTCTCTTAATATGAAAATTAAGAATATATTATTTTTGTTTTAGTTAAATATATTAAATTTTTATATAATTAAGATTTCTTAAATTCACCATATTTTTATATACTTAATCTTTTATCATTATTAACATAAAGTAAAAAAATTATATAGATATAAAAAAATAAATAAATAAATAAATATGAATATATATATATATAAATAATATATTTATATATATATATATATAATATATATATATATAATTATTTAAGAAATTTATTATTTAATAATAATTGTTTTAAAAAGAATATGATGATGAAAAAAGAAAATATAAAAATAAATAAAAAAGTCTTCTTTTTTTAAAATGTAAAAAATAAGGAATAAAAGAGCTTTTCTAAGGTATATATGACTTTATTTGTAAATATTAAAACGATAAAGAAAGTCTTTTTTTAATTATTGAATTTTTAGCAAATATGGATTATTCAAAGTTATTTATAAATGAGATAAACCTTAAAAAATATATAGAAAGTCCTCTTTTTTTTGAATTGGAGACGTTCCTTTATGATAAACTAGAAGATATATATAATATTTTTGATGAGAAAAAAGAAAAAAACATTAATTAACAGAAAAAATCATAGAAAAAACACAAAATATAAAAGATTTAATTGAAATAAGTGCTCTCAGTATTGAATCATTAAAATTCATTTTAAAAAATTACATTGAAAACGAAAAAGAAATAACAAGATAAGATATAATTAATTTAATAGAGAAAAAAATATTAATTCATAAAAAAATATTTTTATCATATTCCTAAAATAAAGTATGGAATTTTAGTCCCAATTTAATAGAAATGTATATATCTTATAGTGATGAAATATTCCATGAATATCTAAAAAACGATATGGTAACAATTTTGATATAATCATGTTCATCTTAAATAAAAGAATTTATTGAAGATCATAAAAATTTGCCAATTTATAAGTAAATATATATATATATAAAAAAAAAGTATAAAATATATTAATATTTATATATATATATATATATATATATATATATATATATATATTTTGTTTTAACAAAGTAATTAAATTGTAAATTGTGAAACTTTTTATTTTGTTATTAAATCCTATTTCTATTTTATACAAGATTTTTCTGATGAAATTTACGAGGATTTTCTTAGTAATTTTTTTTATTCGCCATAGAACATTACTTAATTAATAGTTGAAAAAATATTTATTTTAATAGAATAAAATCCTTCTACGTAATACAATTACTAAAATAATTTTTTTTCTCTAAATAATTCTTAAAAAATTAATAATGAAGAAATTTAAGAATATATTCCCAATATATAAATTTAAGGTATTCCTCCTTAAAATAATAACTCATCTATATTATCAGTATTGTGTTTTTTTTTAAATATATCTTTTCATTCTTCTAATGTGGATTAAATTGAAAATTATTATAGTTGGAAACATGAAAATAAGGTTTTGTAATTTGATAATGTGATTTCTGGATTTTTATATTCAGGTGTATAAATAGATAATTATTTTCAAAACTACATTAGCTGTTGTACTGATAAAGTCCTTTCTTAGAATGAAAATTTCAGATAAATAGTTACTAAATTGTATATTAAATATAATTTTTGTAATTTCTGGCATTTATAATTAATCAATTTCGATATTTAATTTGTCAAAAAAGAAAATGCGGCATATGCTATATAAGTTTTAGAAAAATAATTGGCTTTTTTTTTACAAAAATTATCCAAAGAATATTAACTAATATTTTCTTTATACAAAAAATACCCTTAAATAATATAAACGGACCAAAAATATTCTTTTTTATATCAAAGAGTAGTATATTGGGAGAATATTAAGCACTAAAAAATGTGGGAAAACATATTAAATTTAAGCGAAAAATTAAATAAAAAAATGCGGAATTTTCCTTAATTAAAAAAAGAACTTTTTGAGGTTTTTTTTCGTTTTTTGAATGAATTTTAAAAATTTTTTTTAATCAAAAATGACTTGAAATTTTTCTATGAATAATTTAGTGAAGAAAACCTAATTTTAAATATCGAAAAAAAAATAAGTTTTTCAAAAGAAAATTTATCTTCAAATTTCTTCTTTTTATTTTCTTCCAAAAAACAGCTTTTTTCTTATATTCCTTAAAATAATTATATATCAGAAAAAGTCTAAAAAACATCCTTTTTTTGGAATTTACTTAATTATTTAGCCTATGTTGATAAAGAAAAAGGAAATATTTCAATTCTAGAGTAAGTTTTAGCTTTCGGAGGCTATGTTATATAAGAATTTACTTATTAGATTAAAAACGAGTAACTTTTATAGACTAAATATAATAAAAAACTGCATTATTTTAATGAATTTCTACATATAATAATCGAAAAAATACTAAAAAATTTCAGTAAAACGACTAAGAATTAATAAATTACTAAATTTCCTTTTTTTACAATTTGCTTTAGAATATAGGAGATTTTTCAATATGTTAACTAGTTTTTATTTTCGAAAAAATAGGTTTTTTTTTTTCGAAAAGCCATTCTTTTGATTAAAAAGATAAAAATCATTTCGAATAGTTTTTTTTAAATTTATGTATTAAAAATCATTTTTTTGAAAAAACATTGATTTTATTTACTTAAATAGTCTAAAATAAACCATAAAATGAAAAAAATATAGAAATTTTAAACGAAAAATTATATTTTTTGACTTTAACATTTATTTTTTCAAGCCCAAATTTTAAACCAGAACTCAAATATTTACAGAGTTAACTAAAAATCGAATAAATGGATAAAATTAGCACTTTATTATATTAATTTATACTTAAAATATACTCTAATACTTAATTTTAATAGGAAAAAACTTTGAAAAAATACACAAAAATCTCCAAAATCTCATCATTGTATAAATACCCATTTTTTTCGAAAATATATCAGAATAAAATGTACTGTAAATTCTCAAAAATCTCATAGTTTTAGTATATGCAAATTCAGGTTAAAAAAAGGAAATTTTTTAAGCTTTAATTGAGTCTTTATTTTATTTAAATGGAGAATAAGATGAAATTTCTTATATAGAAATATAAAAATAATACCATATTATACTCATATTAGAAGAAATGAAATAAAATGTTTAAAATAAATGGAAAATTTTATTCCAAATAGTCCTTTAAAAATTGGAAAATGGAAATGATTTAATTTTAAACTATTAAAATATACTTGAAGATGAAAAAATAGGCAAAATAGAAATAAATGAAGATATTTTATTGAAAAAAAGTATAGTTAAAAAATTATTTTTAGAAAAAAACAAAAAATAAACACAAAATTTTTAAATGAATTAATTTACTAAAACTTAACCTTTTTTTTGAATGAAAAAGATGATTTTTTATATTTTTTTGAGCTTTCTTTATCCGAAAATAATATAGAATTTCTCATAAAGATTTTCGTATATATTTTCTAGATAAAAAGCAAGTGTTTTTTGGATTTTCTAATAAATTTAAAAGTATAAATTTTAAATATAATTCTTTAATAAAAAAAGAACTAAATCAATTTTAAAATTGGGACATCTTTACTAAATATTTTTATGTACCTAAATACTTATGGGATAATAAGACTTTCTAAAACTAATCACTATATGATCTTTTACCATTTTTAATTCAAAAAATTATAGATTAAGATAATTTTGAATTATTAGCCGTATTTTTTAATGTTTTTCCTAATCTTTTATTATAATAAGAACAATATATAAATATAGAAAAAATCGAACAAATATTAAAAAAGGTAATTCTTGGTAAAAAATCAATTTTAGAATTGAAATTTTTAGTTTAGAATATATACATAGGCTGTATTTTATAAAAGGAAACTTAAGAAATTTACACTTAAACACTTTTAGTGTATTTTTTAGAAGAAACATAAAACGAAAAAGAAATAAATATTGAAAATATGATTGAACTTATGAAATTAATTTTTCCTTAAAAAATAGAAAAATAAAGAATTATGTTAAATATTTTAGGAAGAAAAATTAATTTCTAAAAAAATAAAATGAAAATTGAAAGATGGAATTTGGAATATTTTAATAGTCAAATTTACGAAAAAAACAACTCCAAAAAAAACAAAAAACTCTCAAATGCTGTTTTTGAAGATCTATAGGAATTTGTTTCATAAATAATACTAAATTAGGATTATTATAATGATTTTTTAGTATAATATGATATATTAAGTAAATAAAATCTCGAAAAAATAGAAGATTTTGGCAAAATAATACTCCTAGAATTAGACGATGGATTTTTAAAGGGAAATTTGATCAATTCAGATAAAAAAGAATTTAAAAATTAAGTATAAAAAATGCAAATTAAGAACATTTAAAAAACACATGAAGAAGACAAAGAAAAAATTCAAGAAAAAGATGAATAAACCGAATCATAATAAATTTAAGAAAACAAAGAAAAACCTGATTAAAAAATCGAATAAATTACACAAAAAAACAACGAATAAAACTCAGAAAACGAATGGTCTAGTTTAGACGAAGATGAAAAAAGCGTAAAAATTACAGAAAAAAAAAAAAACTAAAATAGTTCTAAAAACGATGAAGATTGGTCAAATTTTGATGAAAAAGAAGAAAAAGAAAATGAAGAACAAAAAACTTAAAAAAACAACCAAAAAAATTTTTTGTAATAATAAAAACGATCTATAAATTTAATAAAAAAAGAAAATTAACATAATGTTAGTGATCAAGAAGAAGACTAAAAAAGTGAGGATTTTTAAGAAATCGAAGAAAATAGTAGTATTTTAAGTGACTTAGAAAATTAAGACGATGAATAAGCATAATTAATAACCGAAAAATTAAATAAATATATTGAATTGAGAGAATAAATATGCTTATAGTATCATTTTTAAGGAAAAATAGACAAAAATACTAAATAATTTACTAAGTTAATACAAATTTTAAAAGAAATGAAATCTAATCAATAAACACGTACCTTATTTACTTAAATATCTCAATAAATAAATCCCGAAGATCCATTAAGACATTATTTATAGCAGAAGTTCCCTTAAGATTTTAAAAAGAAACAAAAAAACAAACAAAAAAAACAAACAAAAAAAAATGATGAATTAGAAAATAAAATCAAAGAATATGATACTGAAGAAGACGAAGAACACAAAAATAAAGCCAAAGACGATTTTTTCGAAGAAGAAAAGGCAGACGAAGAAGAAGACGAAGAAGACGAAGAAGAAGAAGAAGAAGAAGAAGAAGAAAAAAATTAGAAAGCAAAAAATGAATAAGAAAGTGAATTCGATCTTTTTAGCCTTTCCAGTTCTGAAGAAGACTAAAATTCCTCAGAAGATTCTTAAGAAGATGAAGTTTATGATGAGGAAACATACACAGAAGATGAAAATTCATTCGAAGAAGATGAAACAATATATACAGACGAATACGGAAGTGAAGAAGATGAAGAAGAAGAAGAAGAAGAAGTAGAAGAAGAAGTAGAAGAAGAAGCAGAATAAAATAAATCTTCTAAAAACAATAATAATTAATAAAAAACACTCTCAAAAGATTAATTAATTAGTCTTTTTATGAATACTTTAATTTTCTATAAAGAAGAAACTATTCTTTAACTTATAAAATCGTTTTATTCTCTAGATTTTGACCTTTAAATAATATGCAATGAACTAATAAATCCTATACATGGTCCTTAAATCATCTAAACTTTATTCTTTTTGTTAAAATTGCCTTTTTATTTCCAAAAATACCAAAATCAAAATGATGATGAAGATGACTTTTTTTTTAACTTTTTCCTCAATTAAAAAAACAAGGAACTTTTTGGCAAATAATACTCTATTTTCTTTGATAATACACTATCTTTTTTCAAATAGCTTCTCTTAAATTCATAAAAAAAACATTTCTCCTTCTATTTTACTCAAAAAGAATATTTTTCATATACAATTCCCCTATCTTTTTTTCAAAAACCCCAAAAAATGCTCCTTTTTGAACCCTAAACAGGCCTAGAAACCCTTCTAAGTATCATTGGAGGCGATTTTTCCGACTTAAACATCTAAATATCCTATATTAAGATCCTTAATATAATTAACAGACTATAAATCCCCGAAAAGTTTCATTTTTCCCCCTAAGCAATCCAAAACATTTACTCCTACTACTACAAATGCTAAGAATTATTCAAATTGAGGACCGCATAGATCTCTCTTTTGAAAAAAAATGCCTAAAACAGCTTCTTAGATTCCCTAAACCTGCTCTAAATATACACGGAATACTAATCATAGATTTTAAACACAAAAATAATCCCTATATTAAACAAAAGTATCCAAGATTAATCTTTCTAAACTACTGAACATCACCTAAATCACATATAAAACATAATTTTAGACTAAAAATAGAACTCTATATATGAATCATTTAAATTTTTTGCCTCTAACATGCGTTTTTTGATAAGACTAGTTTTAAAAAATATCCCAAAAACAAGCAAGAATATTTCTGACTATTTCCAAGACTTAAAAAAGGCACTTTCACATTAAAATCTCCTCCTATTGTTTTCTTAAATAATAAATCATATTTTTTTCTTCTATTAAAACTTCTTCCAGAAATCGCAAAGCAATGCCCAATAAAAATAAACACTTTAATCCATTATAGAAATTTATATTCCTTTAATAAAGTTAATGTACAGTCTCCACCCATATTACGATTTTGAAAACTATCAAAATAAAACTGCCAAAAAAACACCAACAGCCACTTCCTTTACTGATATCCCTTAAATAAATATCAATAAATAAGCCTCTATTTAATAGAATATCATTGAAAACATCTAATTTTATTAACAAAAAAACACTCTTTTTGACCTTCCTACCCTTATAAATATACTCGAAAGTGGCTTTTGTGATCTTATAAAGCTTTTCGTAGGACTAAGCGACTAGTTGTTTTAAAAATACATTCGTGTAGTGTAAAAAAACCCTTAAATTCTTCACCATTTAGACCTAGAAACTCGAATATTAGCTATAAGTATAAAAGCCATAAGAAGGGCTAAAAAAAGATCTGAAAAAAAAGATTTTTATTTAGAAAATATAAACTTAAAAATAAATAGAAAATGTGTATTTGAAAATTCATTCTAAAAAATACTGACATAAACTGCAAATTAAATCATCCAAAAACAATTCGAAGTCAAATTCAAAAACGAAGAAGGAATAGACTAAAGTGGTTTAACTAAAGAATGGTATTCATGTATAGTAAAGGAAATATTTAACCCAAATAACGCACTATTTAAACTAGGACAAAAAAAATTAATGCATTTCCCAAATCCACTCTCATATTTAGTCCCTGATAATATTACTATATTTAAATTCACAGGAATTATTATAGCAAAAGTAAATATTTATATTATCAATTATATATGTAAAATATATATATATCAAAAAAGGCTATTTTAAATAGATATATTGTAGGAATTGATTTTGCAAAGTTTTTTCTTAAAGTTTTAACTCATAGAAATTTAAAGATATCCGATTTAGAAGACATTGAACCATAATAGGCATAAAATTTACTTTGGATAAAAGAAAATTCAGTAGATGATTTATATTTGACTTTTACGTATAAAAATAAAATAAAATATTTATTCATTTTTAAATTTATAATAGATATAATTATTATGTATTTGATGATTATAAAGAAGTTGAGTTAATAAAAAATGGAAAAAATATAGAAGTTACGAATTAAAATAAAAACAGTTATATAGAAAAAGTATTATATTTTATAATGATTTAATAAATAAAAGACTAAATAAGAGCTTTTATGGATGGTTTTTATAGTATTTTCCCCAAATCCGAACTATATTTAATAGATTGGATGGAATTAGGAATGTAAATAGCAGGAAATTAAGAAATAAACTGTAAAAATAATCATTTATATATATATATATATATATATATATATATATATATATATATATATAGTCTAAGAAATGAGAATAAATACATAATATAGTGGCGGATATAATGAATAAAGTGAATAAATTAAATGGTTTTGGGAAATAGTTGATTAATTTGATGATAAAATGAAAAGAAATTTTCTCTTTTTCTTAAGCGGTTCTTATAAATTGCCTCTTGGCGGTTTTAAAGAATTTGGATTTGAAATCAAATAAATATTTGATATTTAAAATCTACCTGTTGCTCATACATGGTAAAAACTATTTTTTTATTTTATTTTATTTTATTTTTTTGCGTAGTTTTAATTAATTAGATCTTCCTTAATACGAAAGTAAAAATATTCTTTTGAAAAAATTATTATAAGCTATTTTAGAAGGAAATGATAGTTTTGGTATTGAATGAAATTTTTTTTAAAATAATTAAACAATATCTAAATATATATTTTCTTAAAAAAAGTCTTTTTATTTTTAATTTTTTAATAGTTTTCATATAATTTATATATTATTAAAATATAATATAAATATAAAAAATTATAAAATATTTATTATATAATATAAATATATAAATATATAAATATATAAATATATAAATATATATATATTTATAAAATTCATTTATTATTATTTATAAAGTTTATAATATATATACATAAAAATTGATAAAATTGATAAAATTCTTTTTATTTTTATATATAAATTTATTAATTATTATAAAAATCTTATTTATATATCAAAAATATTTTATTTTTCTAAAATTTTATTTTTTCAAATATTATTTTTTATTTTATTTATTAAATATATACATTAAATTAGAATATCTTTCTTTATCCAAATAAATATACATAATGTAATTTTTAGATATGTTTTTTACAAATGAAGATACTCTTGAAAAAGCAAAAAATGATATAAAATAATTTTTAAAACACTAAATTGCTATTATAATCCAAAAAATAGAAACTTAAATAGACCAAGACTTCTTTATATACGCTTCTTAATTATAAATATTAAAAAATCTTAATGAATATGATAAAATTGCCCATAAAATGATTGAAATCAATCACTAAAATTCGAAAACCTTAGAAATTTAAAGCTAAAAAATAAAATAAATATTCCAAAAATACATTTAATTTGAAAAAACCTACTAAAACCTAATATAAATTCTCTAAAAAAAATTAACTAAAAAAATGTAAAAAAACTCTTAAAAAATACTTCAAAAAACACAAAAATACGAAATATTTATAAAAGAATTATCCTTCCAAAACTCCCTAAAAACCCCAAAAAAAATATAAGAAAATAAAATAAATATACTCCAATAAATAACCGAAAATAATAAAAAGATACTCCAAACATAACATAAATAAGTAAACTATCCAAACCGTTTTAGTCCTATATCTATATATATTTCTAAAATACTTTATTTGAATCAATTTGATTGTAAATAATAAATAAATTTATATATAATATAATAAAAAAAAAAAATAGAATTAATTACAACTGGTTGGGATGGTTAATTTTTAAAAATTAATAACTAAACCTAATAAATAATATCATAAAAAGACTTCCAAAGTCCTATTATAGACCTAAAATATATAAAATCAACCTAAAAATTAATAATAGCACTTTAAAACGACCTTTTTATGCTAAATATGGATGATTTTGAAATATAAAATCATATAAAATTTCCTAAACAAATAATTTAAATAGAAAAACATGAAAAAAATTTAAACATTTTTAAAAGCTTTTTATTAATAATAACAATAGATGAAATTTTTTATATAGATATATTAAATTTTTAAATAAAATCCTCCTTTTCTTAACAAAATGTGAAGTTTTTAAAAAGTCATTTTTTTAGTAAAAAAGAATTTGTTGTTTCATCTGAAGAAGGTTCTGTATTTTTTTATTAAATCGATAAATAAGGAAATATTTAGTTTATTTTTTCTTAAAAAATACACTAAGATTGGATACATATAATAAATGTTTCTTCCTAAAAATTACTTATGACTAATTCTTATGATTAAACATTAAAAATACACGTAATTTAAGATAACTAATGTCAACTTATCGAAGAAAAAAATAATCTTTTCGCAAATTATGGATAATTTTTTGAAGAAAGTAAATATTTGATAACAATAGATAATAATATTTTAGCATTTGAAGTTAATATGAATGTATAATAGATATTTTAAATTGAAGAAATGGAAGAAATAAATTGCATTAATATAAATAAGAGTATATTTGTTACAGGAAAATCTGAAAAAGGAGTAGTTATAGAGTTTAAATGAAATATTTATATATATATATGAAAAAATGTATATAAATTTAAATAATATAAAAAGATATATTAAATAAAATTAAATTATATATAAAATATTAATTGTATATTAAAAATTTAAAAAAAAATTAAATAATTATATTAATAATAATAGAAATATTATAAATATTAAAATAATTTTACTACCAAAGTATTCTTTATATAGTTATAAACTAAAATCATAGACAAATATAAAATAAGATTAATAATAGATTATAATATAATTGCTAAAAATAAAAAAAAAGAAATTAATAATAATTAAAAAATAAGCATAGTATATATCTTTATATATATTAAAATATAAAAATAATAATATTTGCATATTTGCAAATTTAAATATTTATATTTATATATATATTTATTTTTTAAATTTTAATTTATTTTTTATTTACTATATTTTTTGTTTTCTATTTATTTAAATTTATATTTTTTTTTTAAATATATTAAATATTTTTTATATATTAAAAAATCAAAAATCACTAATCTAATGTTATATATACTATTTATAATAAAAACATTATATATACAACTATAAAAAAAAATATTTTATAAAAAATATATATAATCATGTTAATTAGTTTATTTCATTATTTTGTTAAAGGATTATTTCTACATAAAGGACATTTACATATTTTTTTTAACCATTCATCAATACATTATAAATGAAAAAAATGATTACATTAAAGTGTTCTAATTTACTATTACTATTAAAAATTTTATAAGCAAATAGAACATTCTTCTTCTTTTAATTAATTTTATGTAACATATACACCTTTTCCATTAATTTCATTTAATTCAGATTCTTTAATTCCTTCATTTTACAAATCGATATAATTTTATTATCTAATATTATATAAAATTGCATTTAATATTCTCATAATTCTTCTTCTTTATATTTAATTTTACTGAATTTGCAATTAATTTAAATTTTATATTCTCATAATACTGCCTTAAGTTTAAGTATTTCTCAAATTAATTCTAAATAAAATAATTCTACGGTAAATCAATATAAAAAAATACGAGTAAATTATATACAAAAAAATAGTATAAGCATCAAATTATTAAAAAAACGCAGTAATTAAAAATAATATTAAAATAAAACTTAAAAATAATATGTATAATAGTCTTTTGCTTATACTTAATTCATGAATTAAATTACTTATATTTTGACTTGTTTAAATATTTCTTTGTTAAAATATTTATTGTCTCTCTGATAATGTTAAAAATTATGATTATGGTTAATATGTTATAGGGCAAAAAACATTTATTTAATGCATTTATTATGTTTTTCTTATTTAAAAAAAAAATTGATAAATTATAATATATATATTCTTTTATATAATAAAATATAATTTGAACAAATTGTATACAAGTATATTATTATATATGATAAATGTAAAAATTATAAATCAATTGTAATTTCTATAATATTTTTATATAATTATTTACTTGAAAAAAAATAATGTAGAAAAAATAATATTTAATTTGAAAACAAAAATATAATTAAATTAATAATTTAAAAAAAAATAAAGAAAAATAATAATAACTAAATAAATATATATATATATATATATATATATATATATTTATATATTTATATTTATTTAATTTTTTTTTTTTATTATTAAATATATATTTTATAACCTTTTTTTAGTCTTTTTCTATTGAATCAATTTTATACAAATTTTATTTAAATAATAATTAATCATAACAAGTAATAAATATATTTTTATATTTTCATATCTTTTTTATATATTATATATTTTTAAATTATGATTTTAATTATTTAAATTCTATATTATAATAAATATTTCTATTTTTTAAGAAAAATCAAATATATTTTTTATCTTTATAAAATTTAGCTATTTTTTTATTTATTTTTATATAAAAGAGTATTATTTATTATTTTATTAAAATATGAAATATATAAAAAAATATAATATATTTTAAATAAAAAAAATAAATTTAAATAAATTCTGTTAAAAAATTTATTAAAATATATAAAAATACATGAACAATCATAAATTAACTGTAAACAGATATAATATTAATATATCTGATTAAGAAAATAAACATAGTTTATCTCCTAAACCAATCTAGTTATTATAAGGTTTAACAAATAAAAACGTAAACTTATTAGCACAAAGTCCCTAAAGACGAATAAATTTGATTGATAATATGCCCGAAAAGCCTTAAAGTTAATTAATAATGAAAACAATATTAGTAAAAGATGCAAACGACTAAAATATAATAAAAGCCTTATAAACAGAATTAGAAGATAAATAAAAAAAATGCTCATATTATGTTTTACAAAAAATAAAATAACATATTTATTTTATATTTAAAAATAAATATAATAGGAATAAAATTAAATAATTTAGCTTAAATAAATAGAATACTATACTTAATAAATAGACTAATATAAAAAAACATCTTATAAAATAAATAGATTATTAAATGATAATGAGAAAATCAATAATATATTATAAGAAAAGCTAAGCGAAATTTAAATTTATAAAAAACAAATATAAGAATAAAATAATAATATATTCTAAAAAGAAAAATAAATATAAAATTTATAAGAAAAACTATAAAATAATACTCTATAATTAACTAAATTTGAACTAGAAATATTAAAAAAGTAAAAACTTTTTTATTTTATTTTTTTAAATAAAAAATATATATAAATATAAAGAAATGAAAATAATGAATTATTAAGTGCAATAAATCAATAAAAATTCTAAGAATATATTAATATTATATAAGAATTAAAATAAACTAATTAAAAATTTTAAGAATAATTAACTCTATAATAAATCGATTTAGATAATCAAATTAATTAATTGAAATAAAAACAAATAGAAATAGATGATATTAAAATATAATTATCAAATAATTAATAAATTATAGAAACTAAAGATATATTATTAACCGAGTTAGATAGTTTAAAAAATAACCTATAATCAAGAAATATCGATGTAGAAAAATGGAGAAAAAAATATTATGATAATTAATAAATTATTGACTAATTAAATCTATAATTAGATGATTTAAGAGATGAAAATGAATAATTTTATTTAAAATAATAACAAATTGAATAATTATAATAAGTAAAAATAATAATTTAATAGAGATAAATATAATTTTTATTTTTAAATAAAAAAAAAATAGATTATATAATCGAAAAATGAGATGATTGAA